CCGCAAGAATAAATATATAAGATATGAGAACAATCAAGAGGGAAGAGAGCAAATTACAGCCCGGAAAGACCAAGATGATCAATTCTAATTCATGTGTCAGAACAGAGCATGGATATCAGAGGGAGGCTGTCACAGTAAAAATAATTGATGATGTTAGAGCCCCAGAAGGACAAGTTAAATAACGTAATTGTGAGAAATAGTGACAACAATGTGCTGTACAGATAAAGAGTCAGTACCAGCCCCCAACATGCTTTCTCTGCCATGATGACCACGTAGAGAAGAGGTTTGCAGATGGCTACATAGCGATCATAGGCCATTGCTGATAGAATAAACAGTTCAGTGATGATGAAAATCTCAAAGAATGCCTGCTAGGTGGCACACCAATTGTAGGAAATTGTATTTTTGTGCACCACAAAGTTTGTCATCTTTTTTGGGCCAATGACAGTGGAGTAATCAAGATCAGTAATTGACAAATGTCTAAGGAAGAAGTACATGGGGGTACGTAGCTTGGAGTCCAAATGGGTCAAGATAACCATGGCCAGATTACCCATCACTGTCACCAAGTATATGATGAGGAAGAGTCCGAAGAGAGGTGCCTGCAGCCCAGGGTTGTCGGTGATCCCCATGAGAATAATCAGTCACCTTGGTCACTGCAGTATGACTGTGTTTCTCCATATAGTTCATCTTAGTGACATATGCAAGGTATCAAATCAATAATTATTATACTTAGGTTGCTATCTTCTAAGAGAATTTAAAACGTACATACAATGGGATATGAGATATAGAGACATTTTGTCTCAAATTATAAATAAAGACTCCTCTTCCCATCAGGCCAAAGCTACACATACCTGGACTCACATTGTAGTGTAAGTGCCTGAAAATTAGCATTTTTTGAATATAATGTAAGTGCCTGATATTAAGCTTCTGATTGCCACAGCACCCATTTCAAAGATATTCATCTCTAATAAACACATTGCCAGCTACACAATTAGATAAAGAGGCAGGCTGCTCCACCCATGAACTTCCCCTTTTAGAAATCACTGGGTGACCTAGATAACTGACTGCTTGCATGGTCCTGCTCTTCCCTTCCTATGCATTAATTCCTGCTCTTATGTTTTCAATTCACTAATAAAAAGTAAACCCAGTGCAAAACCCTCTGCTCCCACCCTCAACCTTAGTAAAGGCAGAACCCTAGGTTTGCACTCTCTCTCTCTCTCTACCTGCAACCTCGCTGTGTGGCCCCAGGCATGCTGTGCGCCCTCCAGGATCTGGGTGATAAATCTTGTTTGTTCATAGTTCCCTGACTGTTGTTGCTGAGGCATGTCTTATAATCATAACAAGAACCATGAAGGCCACAACATTATCTAGCACGCGTTGTCTAGCCACAACATTGTATCTGGTTGGGGGAAGTGTCTCTGGGGGCTCACCACAACTAGTACAGGCCAAGTTGAGTACCCCCAGGCATTCCTAGCTGACAGCATCACTTTCCATAGGCTAAGACTGATACAAAACACACATTCATTGAAACTTTGGTAAAGTAGGCTTTAAAAGGGGCAAGATAGGCAGCCAGCTCTGTGGCATAGTAGTTAATTTCAGTGTGCTCTGCCTCAATGGCCTGGATTTGGATCCTGGGCACGGGCGCACACCATTCATCAGCCATGCTGTGGCAGTGACCCACATACAAATTAGAGAAAGATTGACATAGATGTTACCTCAAGGCCAATCTCCCTCAAGCAAAAAAGTGGAAGATTCGTAACAGATATTGGCTCAGGGTGAATCTTCCTGAGCAAAAAAACATACAAACAGAATAAATGAAATAAAAGGGGCATTTTGGAGTGGTTGTTTTGACACAGCTACTATGATCTATTTCTTTTGACGCAAAAAAATCTTAAGTGTGTCAAAAGACCTCTCCATTATATTTCAGCTTTTTAAAATTTTCAAGTAATTTGTAAAACAAACATCTACACCTAAACTACAAATCTTAAATAACTGACAATCATCAAAGGTGTTTAAAAGCAGCAAGACATAAATAAAAAGACTTTCTGAACTGTTGGTGGAGGGATGAATCAGGTGGTGATTAGGAAACCTCTGACCATTAAATATATATTTCTATACTTCTCACTATAAGTTTGGCTTGTTTGCCCAACACAAAATCTAATGCTATAATATGTTAATTTTAGAATTTTGTTATTAATATCCTGTCCACATTTGCCACAACTGTCATTTCTGCCTATTGAATCACTTCTAATGATCTTCCAATCATACACCCCTCTTCTGCATAAAAAGGACTTGGCCATTCTGAAGATTTATGAACTCTTCATGGAGATTCATGTAGAGGCCCAGCAGGAAGAGTACAAATGAATGTCAAGCGCTGATAGAGAACTCATCATGTACCAGGCACTTTACTGATCACTTTACACGTATTAACTCATATGATCCACACAATAACTCTAGGAAGTAGATAGTGTTACCCTCTCCATTTGAGAGTTGAGGAGACTGAGCCACAAGGTGTTAAATAACTTAACCAAAGTCACTCAGATAGTAAGTGGTGGAGTCAACATTCAAACAAAATCGTTCTGTCTTCAAAATATACTCTCATAAACATAAGACAGAGGTATGAGGCCTCTCCATTAAGGTCACCCTGAGCAGACAGGAAACGGAAAGTGGGACAGGAAATTCACCAGGTAAATAAGGATGGACAATGACCCTTGTTAGAATAGATGACTGAAGCTGTAAATGTATTTGAAAACTAAGATCTAAATGCACAGCACAGAGTATCAGGGACTCTCTGACAGGTCTGACCCACACATTAATCCTATTGATGACAGAACAGTATATTGCAAAGGAAGAACCTGTTCTTGAGAGCATAATATCCTCCAAGATCTTTGGTGATGATCCAGTTTAAGCCGTATGCCCTGAGAAATTTTCAAAGACCGATCCTTCCTACTCACCTTAGTAGAGAATCTACTTGGGCTTGCTGTTGTTTTAATCTTTAGCAGTTGTTGCAGAATGGATATAAGTTTTTCTCTACCCCTTTGAGACTCATTTTGTGGAAACTTCTTTAATCTGTTTCAAGGGTAAACAAATTGCACATAATTACCAGAGGGAGAATGCTTTGGTTAAATGTTAATTATTCTCAGAATGTCCCATTAAGAAAAACCAAAAGTATTTCATGCCTGAGTCTAACTGAATAAATAAATTATGTGATATCACTAAACACTGGAAATCATAAATATGTCTTTGTGGGCATCTCAGTTACACAATATCATGCACATATTAGATATATTATACACACACACACAATATGTAAGTAAATGAAAGAATGTCTTCCTAGAAAAAGATTGTGCAATATTTGATAATACAACATCCATTGACCAAGGTTATTTTTGTTGGATATATTACTATAGGTTGACATAAGACAACACCTTACAACTTGTATTGTTTCTGCCAATAAATCAATGGTAAATCTTTTCTTCATCTCTTCATAAACTATGTTTTATCCCTGTTTTTAATGATTTCTCTTTGTCGTTGATTTTCAAAAAGTTGATTGTGGTGTGTGTAAGTTGGCATAATTTCCTATCCACTTATTCTGCTTAGAATTATTTTAGCTTTTTCTGTTTTTGGAATTATAGTTTGTTTCTTTTCAACTATTTTGGAAAAAATTCTGGCCAGCATTTCTTCCAACGTTTTTTCTGCCCCATACAGTCTCTTCTTTCTACTTGGACCTACATTTACATGTGCAGTACGTAACTCGTCATAGTTCTACAGATCACTGAGACTATTTTCACAGTTTTTGTTCAGTATTTTGTTTTCTTTCTGGCTTCATTTTGGGTAGTCTTTACTGTGATAAGTTTAAGTATAGTTCTTTCCTTTTCAGTGTATAATTTGCTGTTACTTTCATTCAATAAATATTTGTTCATATCCAACACTGTACTTCAATCTTTACAAGTCTCATCTGGTTATTTTTTAATTTTTCAATTGTCTCCTCAAAATGTTAGTGTTTTCTTAAATCAGTCAGTATATTGAACATATTTACAGTCTGTTTTAAAGTCTTTGGCTGATAATTCTACCATCACTGTCATTTAAGGATCTACTTTAATCATCTCCTGGGAGGCATCACGTGTTCTTGCTTGCTTTCAGACATGTTTAGTGTTTGCGGCTGGCTGAATATCGTAAATTTTATGTTAATAAGTGCTTTTTTCTGTCTTCCTAAAAGAATGTTAAGTGTTTTAAACAAGAATCAGTTGTCTCTTTTTCAGACTTGTTTTCAAACTATATGAGTAGGGGTCTGTGGTAGCTTTTATCTCTAAGATCTCTACTGGATGCCCAAGTGTTGAACGAGGACTCTCTACTCTGGCTTTTTGGAACTCTAATGTCTTCCTGCTCTATATGATCTCTGGAACTGTTCAGCTTACAATTCCATGATCAGTCTTTTATCAGCCTTGTGGACCTTCACTGTAGACATGCCCAAGTTAGGGTTCAGGCACAAACTCAAGGAGATCTTGTAATGTAATTACTTTCAATGCAAATGAATTTAATTCTCCAAAGGCTGAGATTGGCAGAATGGATTTAAAAAAATCATGATCCAACTATATGCTGTCTGCAAGAGACTCACTTTGTTTACATTTTTGTTTTAGGTTCACAAAATACAATGAAAACCAGATTGAAAAGATACGTGCTTTAAAAATACTGACAGAAGAAGACATGTAGTTTACTGATGTAGAGCTTTAAGTGTGTCCTTTGGGAGAAATGAGAGGTTCTGTGGGATCACTAAAGGAAAAATTGAGTCAAAAATGAGGAATGTTGGGGACAGAGTGACAGTTAATTGATTTCTAAAATATGAGAATTAATTTGGCTGAATATAAAGGGACCAATCTATTTGTACATTATAATTAGTTTTGCTCTGGAGGCAAAAAGAATGTAATTATATCTATGAAAAATATTATCAAGTGACGTTTGCCTTTATCATAGTTTATTAGAACAACATTCCATATTGAATATTAGATACAAAGTTTGCATTGATTCTTAAAGACTCTGTGGAAGACATTTTTTACCTCTTTGTTCCTTAAGCTGTAGATCAAGGGGTTAAGCATGGGGATCGCTAAAGTGTAAAACACAGAGGCCACTTTATCAGTATCAAAGGAATGAGTGGATTTGGGCTGCATGTACATAAACAGTAGAGGCCCATAGAATACAACCACCATCATCACATGAGAACCACATGTGGAGAAAGCTCTTTTCCTGCCCTCTGCAGGATGCATTCGAAATATGGCTATCAGAATGAGTATGTAGGACATTAGGACTACCAGGAGGGAAGAGATCAAATTCAATGCTGAAAATAGTATGATCAATGATTCTGTTTCTTGTGCATTTGAGCAGAACATAAGTAACAAGGGAACATCATCACAGTAGAAATGACTGATGACGTTAGAGCCACAAAAGGTCAATGTAAAAATCTTTACAGTGAACATTAGAGCCTGAAAGGTGCTGTAGAGGTATCAAATGCCTACCAGTACATGACAAAGTCTTTGGGACATGATAACATGGTAGAGCAAAGGGTTACAGATGGCCAGATAACGGTCATAGGCCGTGGCTGACAAGATGAAAAATTCACTGATGATTAACATAAGAAAGAAAGCCAACCGTGTGGCAAATGCATAATAGGAAATGGTATTTTGCTCCACAACAAAATTTAGCAGCATCTTGGGACAAATGACAGTAGCATTACCAAGATCAATGAAGGCCAGGTGTTTGATAAAAAAATACATAGGTGTGTGTAGGCGGAATCCACCTGGGTCAAGATGATCATACTCAGATTGCCCACCACTGTGACTGTGTAGATGATGAGGAAGACCCAAAACAGGGGAACCTGCAGCTCAGGCCGCCTTGTGACTCCCATCAGAATGAATTCTGTGAGCAGTGTTAGATTCCGTTGGCCCATTTAATCCAGTTAGCTCTTCTGGGAAGAAACAGAGAAGTTGTTGATAGCTTTCGTGTAGTGCCATCTAAACAAATTATATTTGTAGACAGAATGGAGATTTTTCTTCATACTAAGGAGTAGAAAAATAATTCCCATACCTGATTTTAAAACTAAAATAAATGATAGAATATTCTACTTTCCAAGAGGAGGGATCCAAATGAAACATATGTACCATTGTGACAGATTACACTCTGGGTAGACTCAGCAATGTTCGGAACATAGGCATTGATTTAAAACAGCCATATAGGAATTAATATAGAAATATTAGACTTTATGTTCTCTACGCAATGGCATCACAAGTTTTCTTTACTATACTTTCATTTTTGTCTGAGACTTCTTGTGGAATTTTGATATTCTTAGAGACAGGCAGAGATAATGTAAAGCTAATGAAGTTTAAGATTTAGGGTCCTTCATTTGTACTTTCAAGGCCCTGGGTGGGGCCTTAGCAACAAACTCACAAAGATATATCTTTGTAAAAGTTGCAAATGTAAAATATTTAACCTTGATCCATTAGGCTCACTTTCTCTTTCCATTTCAACTTTTGCTCCATCACACTTCAACTAATGTCAGGATGCCCTGGTGTGTCTGCAGGCATTTGTAGGGTCTAGCTAAGAGAAGACTGAGTTATTTGATATTTAGTGGGTATGTTTATACGATTCAAAATCAATGACATTTATCATTGAATAATGCTATGTATTTTCGTGTAGGAATGGCTTCTAAGAACACTCCTGTCACCCAATATGCTGAGATGTGTATGAAATTTCATTAACAAAAATATTATATTCATAAATTTTATGATGTTTGTGGGTATTAGTTTGTTTAAAACTGAATCTTTAAAATTCTTTTTCCATTCTAAATAAATATTCACATTTATGCCTCAACTTATATGTACAATTTTATTACTTTTTCTGAAAAGAAAATCCTCAAATTAGTATAAGCTTCAAGATGCATAAGATCTGGATCCATTCCTGCTAAAATATATGGTTTATATCAATACTCAGGGATTTTGAATATTTAATTCTATATTCTTTAATTCCTTTAAATGCTTATTTATATGCATAAATTAATTCCTCCACTGTGGATATGATAGGTATATAAGGCATTTAAAATAAGTATTTGAGCATTTATTACATCTTACATTATTTTCAACTTATTTCTCAAATTGTACAATGAAGTACATATAGAGCATAACACTGTGATTTTCATATTTTTCAGTGATAAGTACAGCCCTCTCCATTTCATAAAATTTACACGGGAAGTCAGGAAAACAAAGTGGAACTGCTCTGATTAAAGATAGTGAAGCTGCTTTAGCTTAATCCATTTGTATTTTATTTCTCTCACATTCAGTTTCTCCTCAACAAAAATCTGGAACTCTGTGAGCATGATTTCCAATTGGAGGAGTGATTGTAGTTCAAAATATTGTCCGTTAAAATACAAGATAAAATTACTATAACGCAAGGTAATGCTCAGCTTTAGCCTGCACGTCTGTCAAGTAGAAACTTCTGGAAGCCTACCACAATGTCCAAACCTACAGTTTTCAGCAGCTGAATCTGGTCCCACCCTGTGGCAGTTGGCAGAATTCTAGGATCTGCTAATTTTGGTTGTTGATTTAGCCAGTCCATCCAAGAAATGGGGACGGCGGAGGAAGGCTCTACTGGAGATTGGTGAGCCACTGCTCCCCCTCTTTCCTAGTTGAAGTCGTCTGCTGATTCTCCATTGAGTCCCACTCTGCTCTCAGGTCCCTTCCTGTTTCACAAATAAGAACCAAGTGTTGCAAGGCCTGCTGTCACGGGTTTTCCTGTAGAACACGAGATACACCGGATTAAGCAAAGGAATTCAGAATTCAGGTACCAATTCCACGACTTTGAAGTCTTCAGTGCTTTGCTAAGAATTATTCTAGTGTTTATTGTCTTTTATCTCCATTTTCACTGTCAGTTATTATCTCCTTCTCCCGTTCAAGATGTCTGGATTCTTTCACCATGCTCACTCGTCTTTTTTTATTTCAATTTTTATCTTGTTGTGGTAAGAATGCTTAACATGAGACCTACCCTGTTAACAGATTTTTAAGTGTACAATACAGTATTGTTAACTATAGGCACAATGTTCTACAGCAGATCTCTAGATCTTATTCATCTTGCATAACTGAAACTTTATACTTGTTAATTAACAACTCCCCATAAGATTCAGCAATCCCACTTCTGGGTATTTATTGAAAAGAATTGCTATCAGGATCTTAAAAATATGGTAATACCCAGCACTTTCTTCTCATTTGGAAAAGGATATCTCTGATTAGTTTTGAACATCTTGGTATTTTCATTTTAAATAGTTCCATTTAGGGCTAACCATCAGAGGAGACAAAATACAAGAAGGATGCAAAGGGACGACTGACTTTTTCAATCTTAAGACATGGCGATATCAGTTAGGAATTATTTGAGGTTCAGGGCTTTCTCCATAACTTGTAAAAATCATTCTATTTATTTGTCAGTCTACTCAATCAGTTTGTAAAGTCCATTCTGAAAAAACCAACCTGAGTAATAAGCAACTAGTAGGGAAAATAAGCAAACAAGTAAAAAATCTATAAATTCAGGCATGGGAGTTTATCCTGATACATAAGGATATATATATCCTTATGTTAAACTTATTTTCAGTTTATAAAATATTATGTGCATAATACATATCTTAAAATATTATTTTCCAAATATTGCATTGGGTATATTTATATAAAAGAATATTTATCAAATATTACATAGGACATATACTACAAATTATTTGTTGCTTATCTGAAATTCAAATGTAGCTGGGCATTCTGTATTTTATCTGCAAATCCTAATCATAATAGTTTCTAATAGATGAAATTGGTGATGATTTTTTCAGACATTTCTAACTTCCTCTTCACTTGTAATATCCAAATGCCACTATCAACTTTCACAAATCGAATGAATCTATGACATCTAGTGAATTCATGGGATTAAATGCCCTAAAAATCCCATACTACTCCAGGGAACCCAGTTTCAAAGGAGATAATGAATTTTTATGATGTAAAGAATCCATTGTCAATGACCATAAGAGTGTCCACGGTCAGAAGCCAGGAATCATGGGAAATTACCAACACCCAGATGCTAACCTAAATCAACAACAATTCCTAGTCACTCAACTTTAATGAAGAACTGGATTTTCTTCTCCCAAACTACTCTTACTTTTTCTTTGGGTAGGGAGAATTTATGCTTCTCCTCTCTCTTTGTGATGCTCCCTGAGGAAGTAGCATGTAATTTATTCAGATGATTGTGCTCAAATCATCTGAAAGATTTTTAAAAATTGCCTTTTTGTGCCTGCTAATTATGCAAAACACCCTACATCTTCCCTAGTGAGAAGATATGAAAGACTATTCAAGCAAATGAACAAAACAACATAAATGATGCAGTTCTGTGGAGACCTACATGACATAAAGGTACTCACTGACACAGAGTCAGTGATTAAAGTTAACAGTGGAAAACACTTTGACATCAGCTTTATCCCAGTGAGACTGGAGCAGTTGCAAAACTGTAAATCACATTATTATCATCACATAGAACTTTTCATTTGGATTTATTGTTCCAATAAAAATAAGTAGTAAATACTGTGTTTAAAACATATCACTTAACTTTTGTGAGATAGATATTACTAGTCCCATATTTGGAGGACACTAATCTCAGATAAATGATGTAATTTGCCCAAAGTAACAAGATCTATAACTAGAAGATTTAATATTAATGTCTCATCTTTAAGTGAGTGATATATATGCCTTGTCCTTTCATATGGTGAACCCATAACAATTACTCTGTTACTATATGTGTTACTATAATGAGTGTCTCAAAGGTAGTGTCTCCTGAGCTGAGATCCTATCACTCTTAAATAACGTCCAGTACAACTTCATTGGGAGTAAAATCTATATAAGGTGGTACATTCCATCTCTCATAAATTTTCCGTATGTCTTCTTTCTCTGTAACTTCTTTATATATAAGAATTGAGGAAAATTTACATACAGTTAAACATGGATCTAAATGGTAGAAATTGATGTTTTGAAAAATGTATTTCCCTTGTTCCTAATACCTAAATCAAGATATAGAATATTTTCAACACCAAAGAAAATTCCCTACTGCTCTATAATCCCCACACTGTAGGCCACTCCAACTGTAAGGAAATTTTCCTTATACCGTATCCCTCAAACAATATCCTCCTCCTACCCCCAGCAACTACCACTCTGGTTTCTACTCCTAGAGCTATTTTCCCTGTTTCTGAAGTTCTTAAGTGGAATCACACAATACTTACTCACAATCTGGCTTCTTTCACTCAGCCTAGTGACTTTGAAATTCATCCATGCGTTTATATTGCTGAATGATATTCCACTGCATAAATATATCACAATTTTTTAACTATTCTCCTATTGATGAAACGTTTAGTATGAACACTCATATTAAGTATATTTGTGGACTTATACATTAATTTCTCTTTGTTATAGATCTAAAATTGGAATTACTAGATCATAAGGTAAATGTATGCTTCACTTTATAAGAAACTGCCAGCTTTCAAAACTTATTGTATCATTTTCCATTACCAATAGCTAAATATGAGAGTTTCATTTTTTCCACATCCTTGCCAGTATTTGATTCGGAAATTTAAAAATTTTTTAAATTAATTTTATTTTTTTAATTTGTTTTTAATTTAGAAATGGAAATTAGTGTAAATGATATCTCATTGTGATTTTAGTTTTTATTTACCTGATGACTAGTGACAATGAACACTTTTCTGTGTACTTGTTGGTCATTCATATATCTTCTTTGTAAAGTGTATTTTTGCCGTTTTAATTTAGATTGTTCTTTTTTTTTACTGAATTTAAAAATTTTTTTATATGTGTCCTAGGTAAAACTACTTTTCCATATTTTCTTGTAGAAGTTTTATTGTTTTGACTATTATGTTCAGTT